ACACAAGGACCACCGGAGTGAATGTGCCTGTGGTCGTGAATGAGTGAATTTGTGTGTTGAGTGATAGTGGTTTGTCTGAGGTTTATCTAATTGCTGTACGTATATTTGGGTTAAGTGGAGCCTCCAACATACAGAAGCTGCGAGGATGTTACAATGGTACGACACGAGAGTCCAGGCCGAGTATAACAGTAGTAGAGGTGTGAAACAAGTGGAGGAAGAGGGCAGCAGGTGAGGAGAGGGTGGCAGTGTTTACTATCAGCGTAGAGACGGACGGAGACGAATGCCTGACAGGATGGGGCCTCTCACGCTTATTTGCTCCACATGTGCGCCGCCGCCTCAAACAACAACTCTATTTTTGTTTTAATGGAGGCATTTCCCTGGTGTAGTGTGGCTGAGGGAAGAAGTACAGCGGCATCTGGCTGGCAGGTTGTGTTCGCGCCACACACACACACACACACACACCTAACATTACGGCAACGCATGTTTATCACCATTCACGAAAATATAAATGCTCTACAAAAATATAAGCAGCTCGAAACCAATCATCAACCCACACCCATATAAACTACCGGTATATACTTAGCAAACCGTCTCAATAATATGAATCTTCCATCCATTCACAACCACGGCCGCAGGAACGACAAAAGTGACGCGCTAAGTTACTTGCAGTACGTGCCAGGTTTAAAGCTTCTCCCGGAGGCCATAGCAGGGTGACAACAGTGCCAACAACTGTGGCGCCAGAACTGTTAACACACACCCTGATGCTCTCTACCACCACATACAACCCCTTACCAGCGCCATGGAGGGAAGAAGAGGGGTCGGGTAGCCCAGAGTAGTGAAATGCTGTTAACGGGTGTTTGGGTGTCGTGGCCCATTGTCTAACAAACCTGGTGTATAATTTGTTTCTGCAGTGCCCATATTCTTACAATACAAAGATCTACGAGACTAATTTTATATTCAACTGGCCAATAAATTCTGTGGGGTGAGGTATAATGTGCCAGTACGTGCACCAACCCCATTGGTCCGCCATAGTCCGTCACACTACGTAAGCACCACCATCGTTTCAATCCAAACTGCTCATATAACTTAACCACTTCCCCGATACTAAGAGGGAGAGAGAACACTATCACAGCTTTACTATCTTAGGGCAACTCAATAGTTGTAACTTTGTGCCACCCACCCATCAGTTGACCCAGCACCTGTGCCACCCACCCATCAGTTGACCCAGCACCTGTGCCACCCACCCATCAGTTGACCCACTACCTGTGTTACCAACCTACCAGTTGACCCAGTACCTGTACAACCCACCCATAATTTGACCCAGCACATGGGCCAGCCAGCCACCCACCCACCCATCAGTCAACCCAGCACCTCGCCCACCCACCCATCAGTTGACCTAGCACCTGTACCACGGGCCAAAGCACCACCTTTCCTGACAGTAGACCCCGCACCTGTGCCACCCACATCCACCAGCCTCGCAGCTTCACACAGAGACAAAGAGTGCGAGAAATATGTGACCTTGTCCGGGGTCGGATCGTAATAGCAGCAATATTTCCGTCTGTCCTAAGCGGCAGAGGGTGGTGATGGCGCGGCTCAACATGGCTGGGAAGAGCGGCTGGCCTGGCCCTGGGTTATGGAGGGCAGAACCTTACCACACACACCGTCTTATATTGATGATAAACAACCACAACTACTCCTTCCCATCGAAAGTTAGTCTACGCCATGATATACAGAAGACCCCGAGTCGCAACTTCAGATACAGTACAGGTACTTTTAGTTCAATCACTATATTTTATCCTCATAAATTATATTCCACTTGAGCTACAAAAATCTTAATACGAGTATTTCCAAAATAAGAATCAAATAAAGTCTGGCATCCAAGTACCAAAAAAGCAAGTACTCCATCACTCCCGCCTTATGAAATGCTACGACCACCGCCACAGCCACCTCAAATATCAACAAAGTAAAATTCTCCAGCTTCACTGCAAACTTTGGAAATTAGATCCGGAGTAGACACTATCACAGTAAACAATGGACCCACGTTGTTTACACGTCATGGCCTCTTTCCCACTCGTTATCCTCATACATTCAAGCAGACTTTTATTTAGTGAAATGTATGATTCGTTTTGTTGAGGAAGCTAAAGGAGCAGCAGCATCTTAAAGAAACGACATTAGCACAAACCACTGACATACCAACCCCAGACAAGAGAACGAGATACTAGCTTATCATCACAATTACACCAATTTCAGGAGTGTCCTGACAAACAAAAATTAAGTATGATATTCGTGTGGCTAGGAAGCGATTATTAGACAACGAAGATAACATCCATAGAGAGTAGTGTCGACTGTCGAAGACGAGTTGAAATGGCCACTTTGATAGTTCTTGTACAGGCAGGTCCACCACAGGAGTCTTGGCGAGCTGTACACCAAGGACACTACTGTATACTCGTAACCTCCCTGGGGTACACCAACACCTCAAACACACCGGTGGGTGTCAAGGATAATCTAGACATAAAAGTCAAAGCACAGCATAACCAGGCTTATCCATGCAAAACTAGTCAATAAGTTGGAGTTTCTTCACAACAAAATCCATTGTCGTCAGGCACGCACGCCTGTCACATAATCACTCGAGACGTGCTTCAGAGCGGAGGGGTACCCAATACGAGAAAAATGTATATCAAAAGGTTCCCCGAATTGAAAGTGTTCACAGGTAGGCTGCATCGTCTACTTCAAACTTTTTTTATAAAAGCAAAATTCAGTAGCTACAGTAAGCAGACCTCTGAACTTAAAATATATTATTAACAAACAAATAATGTTAAAAAAAATTTTCTTTCATTTATATTAAACACCATTAAGCTCAAATTTGATATTCCAATGTTACAGTTGTGCGTGAATGATGTAAGGCACCCACACCACGGCAATTTATCTTCGTTTAGGGAAAACAACCACAAGTATCACAACTACCATCCCTACCAACTAGTACACAGTGGACCGGAAAAGTGACTTGCAGGTGGAGGCAGTTGAGGGTGATCAAGGTGCAGGAGCAGCAGGCATGCCATCACAGCATCGGGAAAGAAGACAGCGAGCGGGCGGGTCTGGTTCTCATCCCAGCGAGGTCTTGGGATATCGAGCGGTTTTTACGATGTAATAAAGCGCGGCGCGACCCTAGACCGACGACCTCCTCACACCAGACGGCCCGCCGCAGAGAAAACAACACCACACACAAAAATCTGACACAATAACACTGGAGGGCTGAAACACTCGGGTCCATCTCGTTGGCTTAAATGGTTAAGTGTCAGTACCGTATTACAACACTGCCTCAAACACTGTCTCACAGAAGGCAGTTACAGTAGCCAGGTCTTTAGGTCTACACGTTTCATGTATCATACAGCTGTGGCGCAAAATCACTATCACATAAGCTCGACAATAAATTACAGTAGTCTTTGGCAGAATACGCAGGGTTATGATCGCGACCTTCACGATGATGCATTAGATAAATCATGAAGGAAAACCACCAGTAAGGCCACAAAACACAGCACCAGAAGTTACAGTTTTGGATGTTTTCAAGCCACGGCGACACATCAAGTTGAGGCATTTTTTTATAATAAACAATGTGGATGTATGAACCAATTTATTTAAGCTGATGGTCGGCTCTTGATGCATCGGGCAGAAGATGTCATTTTCGACAACAAAACTTGAATACAAGTGGCAAAGCTATTAGCCAGACCATTATAGCTTAGACCAGTGTTATGAAATCATCGGAAGATCTGGACATACCGGCACGGGTGCACATTCCTCGTCCAAACTTAATATACTACCTTCAGTAATAATCCTATTAAAGATAAATGAGTACCATCATGAGACGTACGTAACAACAGATGGATGGTAACTAATAATACAACACGCTTACTGAAGCGAGGCAGTACATTGCGCTCAACAGTTCGTGAGTGACCATAATGAGGAAATTTTCGGAAGAGTAGGAAAAATTCCCTCAAGTTCCAAGCATCCCAGTCTGTTTGATCTGATGGCTCTAAGTATCATACCATAAGTTGTTCTGGACGCTTCATGAATTCTTATTGTAGGGTTTACATGGGACAGTGACGAACAAGATACCAGCAGTTTATACCAAAACAAAACTTAAAACACATTGCATTCCTCTCTTGGATGCACTGAAACGTTTCCATAAAAATATAAATTGTTTCAGCAATTTCTAGGGTAAGCCAAGTGGATGAGTGATGGCGTGGACACCCCGGGAATCAGATGCCAAATGTTCATGTGTAGAGAGCGTGCGATAAAACTATTGATCCCTCAAGTGTTCCCGGCCTGGAGTACCAGCAGTCTCGGCCCAGCGGCCGGCCCCGCACACCAGCCTTACTCCTTCACGCCAGCCAACTCCCGCAAAACATTTCACTGGCACTCAACAATGACCTAGAGAACACATTTTGTATGCCTTAAATAATCTAAGAATCTTCTATAAATTGGAAAAATAAAATATAAACACGGAAGTCTCAACACTGTACAACTCTTCCAGTGAGTGGCGAAATATCTGGAGAGGAAGTACAGTACTAGTGGTCGAATGTAAACCATATAGGAATACACATGTAAACAAGCAAGTAGGGCAGAGGACCAGCCACATTCTGGTGGGCAAGCAAATATTGAGTGGTTTTTACGAGGCAATAAAGGTGGTTGTGGTGGCGGGGATGGTACGCTCACCCGACCTACATTCTGACCCGCCATCACATGCGGCCTACTGCTACTCTCACTCCTCCCACCTCATCAACACTGACATTCAATAAAAATATCGTGTTTGGATCACGCACCCCAAGAACACCACACACGCAGATATGAACAACACTAACAGACCTATGAGCTAGAAAACATTATGTTAAAGAGAAGTGAAAAAATGAGGTGCAGTTAACAATGGTCAAAGCAGTAGAGAAGATGTGTTACCTGAACGCGACAGTCGTATAACCTCACCTGTTCACTGTCAACTTGTTCTGTCAAGCAGCTTCATAAATCACTTCATTAGCATAGTAAATCTTAAGAGCACCAAATGGTATCTTGGATCGGAGTAATTCTAATATAACAATAAATTTATAAAATAACCCCAATTCTATATTTTGTAAAAGATAAAAACAAATGGTAAAGACAGCGTATCCATAAGAAATGTACAGTAATATTGATACATCAAATACAATATTTCAAAATACCCGACATCTACATGCTTCAATAGTGTTTCTTTTATTTGTTGTGTAATCCAGTCAGTAGAGAAACCAGATTATGTCCCTTCACCCACCACGGGGTACCTCATCCCTCCTGATACACCCATACAAGGACCACCCGCTGAAAAACGGTGTGTACGCCGCAGAATTAACCCGAGCGGGGACACCAGGAATGACGGTCCTGTCCTCAAGTTTTCTCTTTCTTCTTGTTAAACACATGAACATTGACGTTACTTTCAAGAATTCCGGCGAAGTAATCGCATTAAACTTGGGTGCAAAACACATTTAATTGCAGCAGAGGGCGCGGAAGAATGCGATAACTACATTAATAAAGGTAAGTTACAGCTTGTAGGAACACGGGCGACGTGAAAACGCATGACGCACAAGTATCAGCCACAAGCTTTAGCAACACCTCGACCACGTATCAACACAATCAATACTTGAATCACCCAACAAAACCTTCCTCTCAATATTCTACGAGTGGGGTATCGTGTTCCACGTACTTACCTCAGTTATTTATATTCTATTACTGGAACACTTCCCACACTAATAATAAAAGTACACCAAACTTGTAAATGTTAATTCTAAAAAAATTATTGACGCCACTGCTATACTACAAGGATAACAACAGTGTAAATGGCGGCAACGTGCGTGTTGAGCAAAAATGTGCTTGGTGCATAATTAATATCAACAGGGACAAGCCCGTCAAACGTAACAAACTTTCGACCACAAAAATTACTCGACTTCAGCACAACACTGTGCCACATGGATGATCACTTAGTATTTTTTTTCTTTCTGGCAAAATCCCAAAAGATGATAACCTTGCGTACCTTTAGGGTGGCCTCAGCTCATCACGGTGTACTGTGGATAAGTATCTCGTATTCATCAGCAACAATATGAAGTTTTAAGAGACGTTCCCGCCCGAAGTCTTGTGCGCATTCGACCACATCAAGGACTATGTGTGAAGAGCTGTCACTGACCGAGCCTAACCTGGCGTAGGTACCTGCCGTGGGAAAGCGTCTCGTGATTCACTATACTGTACTTCTGTTAAGACAAGCAATGCCCAAAATAGTGAGAAAGGAGTTAAGACATAAGAGCCAGACGGCCTAGCCGACCACGTCGAAGTTAGTAAGAGCTTAAGATGTAAGGCGATGCATCAACAATTATTGGGCCAATCCAGTCATCCCTCGATTAACTTAGTATTGCTGCCATCAGCGTAAGTGGCGCGGCGGCGGAGCCAGACAGCGGCAGCGACGGCGAAGGTTTTCCGCCCGCCGCTCCTGCCTGGCCCACCCGCTCTACCAACCATCAACTCAGGTAAATACTGTCCATATTTTTTACGCTAAACTATTTTATCACGCCACCAAACACTGCGAAAATATCCATAATTCACTACACGTGCTTGTCCTAGATACTCTTTGGTAATATTCATTAGTTAACATTTATTCATCCATAATTTCAAATTCATAAAGTCATAACACACCCAATATAAATAACGCCCAATAAAATTTTACCGTTCCCAAGTTTCTACAATAAAATTAACTTTAATCATAACCGTCACGAAGTCAAACCATAAATATATATGATTTAGAAAAATTATGTTCCCATAAAGCATTATCAACACTTAATTTGGCAGCAGTTTACCAAAATGCTCTGGGCATTTTTATTATTATAAAATTTCGTGAACACGAATTTCACAAACATTACGGCAACTGATAACCTTTGTATAAAATGGATTAATAGTTAAGAAAGCCACAAATATGATTTATTTCCGTGACATGGGCGAGTTTAGAGGCTCAACGTCTTGGAATGGACGATACGTGTGAGAAATGTGTGGCCGACCTGTGTCTTCTCCAGATAGTCAGACCTGTGGCAGGGCGTCGCCTACCAGCCTGAGGCCCATGGCTGGTGCGACTCGGCCTTCAAGCTGCTGCTTATTATACATGCATGAAACCCTTAGTTCAGACCCGCTCTCTTGTTTCTCTACTCCCCTCAACTCGGCAACCCCACTCTTGGTGACCGGCTGGCGGCCTTCCCGCTAAGATCACCTCCTTGACATTCCATTTTTACTCACTGCGTCTTCACTGTACCTTTTCCATAACGCTTTCTGTAATATTTCTCCCGCAAAGATAGTTACAATATGGTATCATTTCCGTTCACATCGCCCTTCTATGGTGCCCGTCCTATTGCAGTTCCCTTCCCATAATGTTTCCTTTCATCTAGGCTCTAGGGAGTCTAGGGCCTTCTCCTCCAGGAAATTTTACAGCTACATCCGCTCCCCTACAGTATCCCGCCCGTTGCATCAGTCTTTTTCCAATACTCCCACCGCTTAAGTCTCCTTGCAGTATTCCGTCGCTAATACAGTTCCCCCAAAGTACCCGATTCGCAAAATCATCGACACCTCCGTGAAGCCCTCTCCTCAACTCCTGCCACTCAACCAATCCCCAGAAACTCCGTTGCTTAAGTCCTGTCTTCGCGGTAACCCCGCCGCTACGACAAATTCTTCGCGATAATCCTGCCGCTACAGCGGTCTTGCGGTACCCCCTTATGTTACCACCTTCGCTTCATGAAGTGTTTTCCACTCCACCGACATTCGTCGAAACAAGTCTCATAACGATGAATTCTCCGCCAAGTACTTCATTGAAGTATACGCAACGCTCTGACTATATGTATTATACTCTGAGGAACATTCACAAATAACTAGGTTCCGATCCCCCCCAAGAATACTGTATAAACACCTTCAACACTAGAAAATGTGATATGTTCTTGTATCAAAAACCGGCACAGTTCCTTCCATACCAGTCTCTTCAAACCATTGTTCCAACTAGGATGTCTAGACGTCTTCTCCCGGGGCCGTTGCCGCTAAGACAGTGTATTCAAAAGACTCTGTTTCTACCAAGGAGTCTTCAAGGTAATTGTCCGCAAAGATAATCATCTCACGATGTCATTGTCACAGGGCTCCGAACTCCCTAAATACAGAACCTATTAAAACCCTTCTCGCAAACGCGATGGTGCTCCAGCCAACACCATTTGTTCAAAGATATTTTTTTACCTGCATAGGAGTCGCCGTCGTACCACTAGATCCCGCAACCCCCACCTCTGAGTGCGGTACTACCCCCACCAAGACTAGGCGTTCGAGGCAGTTCCACCTTTAAGTCCAGCCAGTAACACCATGGTGGCTGGGAACGGCCATGGCCAGTGTTACCAGTACAAACCCACGGCGAGCCGCCACCGCACCTCTCTTCTTACCACCCATACAAACAACCCCCCCCCCTCCGATGACGCTATTTTGTACGCGTATACCTAATGCTCAGTGAATCTTATGAACCTCTGTACTACAGCGAACTAGTACGTTTGTTTTACTAGATGTTTAAATGCAGACACACTGGGACACACTAAAATTAATTAAAGCTTGCGTAAATTTCCTTAAAAAGTCCCACAATGTTTTAAGCGATGAAACCTAATAAACAATCACGGAATCTGTTATGGAGGTTTTGGGATCAAGCAGTATAATTTGTTCCCGGTAATAATTTCAGATTAATGTAATTTTCGTAATATCCCAAGAATTATTAACGCATAGCCCACGCTCTCTTGACAAGAAAGAACTAAAAACGATAATTAGGGAATCTTACCTATACCAAACTGTAAGAGAATAATTAAATGTATCCTTCTCAGTGTACGGTAAGCGTCACATATCCTCCACACCTTTCAAACAGGGAAACAAAAACTTGCTATAAACAAAGATTTCTCCCGATCAAAATGCCAACACACTTTGATCATGCTCCGCCCCTTCCAGCCACGTCGTACAGTACACAGTTTTGTCCTCAAAGAACAAAACTGTCCAAGACGAAAGATATTTGTGCAATAACGGGGGGAATTATAGCCATTTTACCGCGGTGGGCGATCATGGTGGCAGCACAAAGACAACTCCCGCCACATTTTATGGCAGTGTTTCCACCTAACCAGCTTTATTTAATGCCTGGCACGTTTTCGATTTACAATATAGTTTATCACGTTTGTAATTCTGGTTGAATTATTACAGTGTACCTTGTCCGCCGATCATGATATACATGCCATAACTATTCCATCTGATCCGTGAGGGTGGATTCCAGATCTGCCCCGATATATTTTCACTTTATATGGCAATTTTGGATGAGGGATCGCGCGGTACATCGCCACACGATCACAGTATGAATATCACCATAATTCGCCTCAGTAATCTGTAACAGCATGTCCGCGTCATAAAACTTATTTATTATACACCACAAGGAGAGTCTGAGTGTGTGAAAGACATGTGCCTCAGTGCCTCGCCTACACTCTACTGTCCGATGAAAGAACGCTTGCACCAACTATGACCAAAGTATGTTCGTGCAAACGCTATGCTACGCCTTTCTCTACCGTAATATACAAACATTTAGTAATGTTCTAAACCAGTACCGAAGTAAACCAATCAAGCCTTCCCAAGAGTTACTTCCCAGCACTTAAGTACCATTAATCGTGTCCAATGCTTCACCGCAAGACTACACAAATCAATCTTACCTGTTTTTTCCTTGATTTCACAGAGGACACTGAAGAGCGCAGGCTTCATGCGGTGGCAGTTTAACGTGTGTTTCCTGGAGGAGAGAAAGGAGAAGGGGAGACATTAGCAACAAATGAACATAATTATTCTAACAATAAAGTTGACCGACCCCGAAGCCAAGATGGTAAGCCTGTCGGCAGAAGCGTCATGTACTTGTTTTGGCCCCAGATTTGAGCCGCCGAGACTACTGTCAACTCGCAAACTAACTTCAACACTTGAATATCGATTACCCCCCCCACAAACTTAATTCACACAAACGACAAAACAAATTTAACTTAATTAATTCACGTCAATGAAATATATACCAAAATACCCCTCTAAGCTTAATCCATTTCAAGGCACGACTTGTTATTCCCATTACTCTGAATTTATTTGGGAAACGGCAAATAGGCCATAGCTTAGGCATCTTTAGCGCTCCCCTTAAGTAACAAAAACCATCAATGAGCTATGACTGATTTTAGCAGGCACAAACCACAGTGATATATGATAAAACCTAGCAGTGTTCAGTAGTGGGTCTTCCCTGCTGACATTGAACACTAATAAGCGATAGTTCTTGCCAATATGCCCAAGTCGCGGGGGCCACGACCTACGCGCAGCTTCAAAGGACAAAATTCATAGTAATGGGAATAAAAAATCTTCTTTTTTGTATGGAATTCGAATTACTTATATTATGGTATATATTTTATTATAAAGTTAATTAATAAGCACGTGCAACTAAACTTGATCTCTACCTCACACATATATACCGGCACCATTATATATATATATATATATATATATATATATATATATATATATATATATATATATATATATATATATATATATATATATATATATATATATATATATATATATATATATATATATATATATATATATATATATATATATATATATATATATATATATATATATATATATATATATATATATATATATATATAAGGCAAAAGTGTTTGTTACGCTAAAAATATTCACACCTGATGTGTCCGAGCAGAAACTTACGGTACTCGCGATCTTTTTGTAACTCGGATTTACCTTTAACGACTGTAAACATAAATAACTATATTATTTTACCGTCCACATAACAGTATTCTCACGTTACTTATTTTTTCTTCAAATTTTAAACTTTGCAGGACAACTGGGGCATCATTAAACAAAATTCATAGATTACGGGAAATATTAACGTACCTGTATATAAAATGATAAAAACTGCGGCGTCTCAAAATAAATATCCAAGAGGTTTGTTGTGTCAGTATGATTAAAAGGAATAACAAACACTTGTAATTATTATTATTATTTTTTGCTATAATGCAGATTTTGTTAATTTCGAAAAATACACTGTTCTCTGTACATATATGATGAATACATGTAATGTAACCTATATTTCTGGATAAAGAATAAAATGTAACAAGCATTTCCTAAGCGATAAAAATTTAGGAAAAATATTATGAGGAGTACCACTTTGAACATAGCAAACAGTTCAGCAAATATAGTCGGTATATTTAAACTGCGTACAATATTGAGTTATGTTTTGATATTTACCTTATTTTCATTAAAAATCAGATTAGGAACCCACAAAAGGTGTATTTTCACCAAGCTTCCTAAAGAAGTCGCATCTAAAAGGCACGGTTATTTTAATCTATCGCATGTATAGGTGTGTTCTCGAGGTAGAAATTACGTGCAATAGCAAAAATAAAATAAATTATACGTTAACAAAGCATCACCTCGGTTTCAGCCACATTAAAGTGTCTTTGTGATGATATACTATACATGCAAATCCATATCCATAAAATATATACCGGTATATTTTTAATGAAATGAACATAAACATTCTAAGACAATACAGTAGATCACTAAAACTAAGACTCGGAATCATCCCCGAGACCGGTTGTTCTCGTTAATTGGAATCTTAAGACCTGCCCTGCATATTACGTTTTGACTGCATAAAGTCTCTTCTATACACACCATTCGCTATTTTTTGTACAGAATGCCAAGTGTACAGTATCATCCCTCAGCCCTCGGCTATACCATTCTTTTTATTTAAAACATAATTAACTGACGTACAATTACCTACTTCCGTCAAGGTCTGCGAGCTAACACCTATCTCCCAATCTTTCAACTAATGTAGTATAAAAACCTGTTTACTGTAACTGCCAAACCGATTACATTATATTTCCTAATAAAATGTCAGTTAATCAAGGCAGGAAATTTAACCAGTATTTATAACAAAGAATTAGTGTTCCAAATGTATCAGAATGATTTGTCAAGAGTGAAATATACTAGTTTGACACCGAATTAATGACGGGTATTCAATTTCCAGGATGAAGCAAATCTGTGCGAGATCACAGTAAAACCACTGATAAATCTCGCATAATGACACACTTTAAACACATCACCCAGTCATACAGCTCGCTTCTCAGACAAGTTCCTGCATCTTAAAGAGTTGGTCGCCGGTATAACTGTCTCCCAATAAAGTTAATGATACTATCAACAATTCAATAGCCTTCTTGTGTCCACAGGTGTGTTTTAAGCATAAGGGTCTCCGCGACATACTGTAGAATGGAGAATCATCCCACTAATTAGGGACTGTATACACAGGAAAAAAGCACCTTCATCCATTTATTTCGTGGGAAATTCCTATCGAATAAAAGTAATACTACCGATAGATATTTTATAAGATGATAATGATATGATAATGCTAATCATTGATATCACTGCTGATATATATCACCGTAATGTCGATTTTATGCACCCAAGGTCGGATGTTGTATTGAACGATGTAGTATCACGACTATATACGGTATACACTATACATATATACATTAGCACCAGACTTATTAGTAATTTAGGAAAAGCTTTCGCTAAACACGTTATACACCAAACCTAAGTATTAATCGCTCAGATGTTTATTTCTGCTGAAATCAAACATAGCGGTGTTTCTTATTATATTTACCAAGGACGCAGAATCATGTCCTATTTGCCATTTCCCCAGCAAATTCATTCGTTTTGCTATTTGTCTTTTCCACTAGATTTGGATTAAATACACACAGAACGCTTTAGCGAAAATAATAAAAGAACACAGCCATTCTTAAGCCTGCGAATTTAAGCTACTTTGTACGGTATACAATGTACACACACACACTGTGGTGTATGTGTATATATATATATATATATATATATATATATATATATATATATATATATATATATATATATATATATATATATATATATATATATATATATATATATATATGAACGAGTGGTACACGACTGGTTCAACTGACATTTTTAGTAAGAAAATTCTGTAATGGTCTGAAAACTAATACACTCTTTTCCGTAAAATATATTTCGTAAATTTCTCTCAAATAAATCGCGCACCTATCAACTGCTGGTTGACAGTGGCACTCTAAAATATCAAACACTGCCCAGTAACGTGGCAGTAATTATTCTGCTCCTGAACGGTGTTCTCCATGAGGAGTATTGTCACCCGGATAATGCATCTACATTTATCTGTCTGGAGTTATGGTTGCGATGAAAGTTATATTTGAGGAGGAATGGTGAGATTGGAAGTATATCATTATTGCTATATTATTGTTTTAGATGTACTGGGAGGGGTCATTACTAACGCCTTTTTTTACACTTACGTAAAGGAGTGGTTTAGCTTAGATACGTCACCTTCCAATGGCCAGTCTGAAAATAGTGAACACCATTAGCCATAAATGCATTGTCAAGTCTGACATCTTAGGAGCTAGGGGGTTCAGCTGCACCTTGGCTGCCCTGATATACAAACTCACGGTAAACAATGCGCTTGTACCCTGGTTACTTGTTACTGAAGCTACTGACATGTACTGTCTGGCGTGTTTGATCACACCAAATCAATTTAGGCTGTGGTGATGTTGGTGAATCACTTCCTGGCCTGGTGGTTTTGGTGTCGGGTGCATCGTAACTGCTTGTCGCCAAGGAACATCGCTTCGCCGGCGTGCCTAATGCGCCCCACTCTGTTTAATAATATACCTAAATTTACTTATGCCTTCGTGTTTGATGTATTGTGTATGCGTGTATGTGTGATAACACGGGAGAGTATGAGTGGTAGTAGCGGCCGTGGTGGTGCAGCGGGCGGGTGACTCGCCGCCGCCACCACGGCCGCCCAAAATAACACAAGAGAGGTGCCCACCTGGCCTGCGCCTCGTCCAGCGACTGGTCCGTGATGTTCATTATCTGCTCCAAGATGGTGTTAATGTCCTGTTTACGGCCTTCACTGTCCGGCGTGTTGGTCCCTTGGCCAGGGTCCACCGAGCCCCCGCCCATGCCATAATGCTGGGGCATGAGCATGCCCGTTTGAGACGTGGGGTGCATCATGCCCCGCGACTGGTCATCCATGCTGGCCGCCACAAACACTTTACACCACCACACAAACACAAACACTCAGAAGCAGCAGGTACAGCCGTAGCGGCCCGTATACAACGGTGGCGCGCCACAAGCAGCACCAGGGTCAGTCCAGCGCGAGTGGAGGAGGAGTGAGTAGGAGCGCGCCACACACACCACCGTCACAGCCAAGAGGCCAGCAGCGACTGACGGTGGTTAGGCTCCTGCTGCCGCGCGCACCAACCCAACACCACACCGTCGTCACTACCACTAACGCATGTCCACCACTTCGCCACACACTACTACCACACACGATTATTCAGATTTTTATGGCTGTTTGCTCAACGACAAGAAATAACGCGTGGACTCGAATGAATACCACAAAACAGCACCTTTTCGGAGTGAGTATGCCATTAACAGAGAGAAAACGCTCCGACCGCCAATCACCGCTGCCGTCTCACTCGCATAAAACCATAACCTGACGGGCCAAGCCAACCTCGCCACCCGCTACGATCAATAAGAGAATGGGATGCCGACAAAAAAGAGCATATTTTGCTGACAAGAAGCACTCTAATTACTCAGTTAAGCTTTCAATCACGATACGTTGATATAGTTCTAACTTTGGTAAGTGCAAATTCATGGAAATTGCTAAGAAGCTAAGAAAATGGCTTTGTTTACATCGCGGGCCTTTGTGTGTCGGAGTCTGCGCGGGAGTTCGTACTTTATATCAAGTTGCTAACTTTAAAGTTCGGAAGCTGAAAGTGTCAAAACTGATCAACAATGTTATACATATGACGTATGAAAACTATATCTTAGTCTAGGTGGCTGTCTTTGTGTATTCTAAAACAGAGAGAGGTTTAACTCGTGTGTTCCTACTAGCATCCGGACACCAGGATTAGGCGGCTCAGGATGATTTACGTCACTCCTGAGCGAGTCTTACTGCTGCCAGAGGTACGTTTTGTACCATAACAAATCTCGTGCCCAGTACAAGAAGACAATGTTCAAGAGTTTGGCAAAGTTTTATGATTAAATGCAATGTAACATTCATATCATATTTGATGAAACTAGCAATTAATGTAAATCTCTAATTTAAGCTCTATAAATCATTAAATAGATGTCATGTAGCGACTTGCCGAGACAAGTAGGAGGAGCTACAGAGCCGTAAATCAACCTAAGTTACTGTGGTTGCCTAAGTAAGTTTCTGGTGTATGCCAAACCTGGTAACACGCGCGATTGTGCCCTATGCCCTGCCAAAAATGACATTCGTATTGGTCTTGTTTATCTCTATTAAGGTTTGCAGTTTTTTTTCACACTTAATACGAATTTATCTTATATACAATAACTTCTGAAGGAAACAAAATAGGTTTGTATTCGTGTATTTCTAGTGTATACTAATTATACACCATGCTTATCTTGTACTATTAAAACTTTTTTTACTCAACGGTGTCATTTATAATTACATGTGTTACCATGTACAGTATGTAAAGGGTGACTTGAGAATTGCACTAATTAGTTTTCTCATTCAATGAAACAAATATGTAATGTTTTTCCTTTCTAGAAAAAACATTAACATGGGTTCTTAATGAAGTAAAATAATCAAGCTGCATAACCAGCCTGTGTAGCACGTACCTGAATATGCAATTATATTTATTAATCTACGACCACTTAGCGATGTCTCAGCTACCAACAATGAAAAGGATAGCAGGTGCCTGTGTACACAAAATTAGACATGTCACCCGCTGAATTATTGTTCCACATAAATTATGAACGGGCACAAAACCAAGGTAATTTAAACATGACATAATTACCCTGATGAGCAACATGCATTAAAATAAATATATGGTATGGTGATTCACTTCTTAGATGAGCTTTAAGAACGTAATATCAGAATTTCAGTAAATTTCCTTCGTAAATGAGACACACATACTGCGTACATGTTCAGCAAGTTAAATTGTCTTCAATCATACATTAAAAAAATCTTATTTCATAACTCCATATTAATTTTGTGTTGATTTCTTTATCTATTTCAGCACTGTAACTGAGGACAAATGTGACAATGTGTGACTTGGCCCAGCCACTGATAATTAGCTATCAATATAAATATTTGGGCGTTATAAATATCAAAAGAATATAAGATATTGAAATCTATTGTGATGCGAGATCGCGTTTTCTGTGTTCAAGAGTATGAATGAGCGATGGGTTCTCTCACTCAATATTTTCTCTCTTAGCAGTAAAAAAAAATCTGCGAGGTAATTCTTTCTTACATATAACGCGATAACTCTCGAAATTGTTTTGTATGTTCTTGAGACTTGGAGAAAAACTGATGCCCTTAAGAATACAGTACATATGATACGTTTGCCATTCACATTGATGTTGGCGCACTTGTTATTTGAGGATGTATGAGGTGTTCGACTTTATGAAAACCAGGCACGTGAAGTATAGTTTCTATTATAATTATTATTATTATAATTATTATTATTATAATTATTATTATAATTATTATTATTATTATTATTATTATTATTATTATCATTGATTATTAATTATTATCGTTAAACATGTAATTGCTATTTTGTATTACTATTATAGATTTTATTGTTAGTATTCGCATTATTTTTATTGTTGTTGTTACTGCTGTTGCTATCATTATTACTATTATTGTATTATTATTATTTTTTTTTAATTATTACAATATTATTACAATTATTAGTATTTTACTATTATTAGTATCATTATTATTTGTATTACTAATACATTATCCTTATAATTAATATTATTATCATTGTTAATACTATTAGCAATGTTATTGTAAATAATGTTTTATATTTATTCTTATCATTATTATTATTATCATTACATGTATTAAGGGTGCTTGTTTACATTTTAACTGTAGTGGCACCAAAGAGGATATTCGCAGTAGTCATATCTGGTACAATACTGTCCAACAATAGTCACCTATTTCAAGTTATCTTTCTAATTTTCTCTCCTATAATCTTGACTTACAGTTGTCGTTTCCCAATCCTCTAAGTTCAGTTGTTATATTCAGTTAAACCTTCATAAAAGTTTACACTGATTCATTATGTATATAAACAGTGCAGGTATACAATTCAGCATGTGTATAAACAGTGCAGATTTACAATGCAGGTATAGGTAGTAGGCAGCTATCAAACAGGAAGGTACTCTGTACTACCACTTGGGAAGATATTGGAAGCATACCGTAATGTGTTGTTTAATGGCAGACCCTGCTGTCATATGGCATCACAAAAATTGTGACCAAATTCCAGGTTGCTCATCTGACTTTCTGCTTCATTTATACACAATTGCAGGGTCTCACAACATATATCATTTCTTACTCTTGATTTGTTTATTTACTTTGGCATTTCTGTATATATTTTTGGTTAATTTTTTTTCCGACCTCCCCCCCCCAGGCCCCAACGTGGGTCGGTGACCCGCGCCTGAGTGGGCTAATCCCCGTAAAAAAAAATATTCAGACAAGGCAGTTATACAATATACTGTATATAGGTCGTGCAGGTATACAAACATCACACCGAGACAGTGGGTAAGGCAATTGGACCAAGAATAGCCAATTCATAACTGATTTTATAACTATAGAGAGATAATATGATTTACAAGACCTGCTACTGCGTGATAAACTTTGAAGGATTATTCCACAGAACTGGACTTCAAAATAGCCCTGGAAGAGACTAATCATAGAACAGTGGGAGGATCTAACAGCGGCCATTAACCTCCTTCCCTCGGTGTGGCCACCTCAAGTTGGGGGTGGCCGTCAAGTAAATCACGTAAATATTTGAATTATTGCCTTGGCAGCATATCTCCTGTTTTGGTCTATAGAAAAGGTGATGTATATTATTAACTGGAACCCTCACGGAGCGTTTAAGAGTTAGCGCGGCCAGAACCTCTTGTTATGGTAGTGGTGAGGTAATGTGGGTTTGAGGTTAGTTCCCTCTTGGCAATGTCTGAGTTTTCTTGCATGATCCCAGTCCCTTTGTTTCATCTGAGATTTTTCTACTAGATGTGTCAGTTTATTTGGAATTTATAATTCCATCATCATATCGTTAAGTACAACATCACATTAGTCTATAATCTTAAATTCCTAATGAAATGAGTTGACTTTATATAATATGGAAAATATGGGGCTAATTGAAGAAAAAAACATAATGAACCATACTAAAGCATATTTCGTAAAGAGACATGCGAAACTTTTTTTTTTCAAAACTTGGAGAAACACAATTACTCTAGAGTATCTAGAAAGATGTCAGCTAAGATTCCAAAACTGACCAACATAACGTAACCTATATTACCTAATCTAACCTACCTCAAGTAAGCATAACCTAACCTTCGTAACTTAATCATTGTTCAAACGAAACTCCATCTGGAAACGGAAGGACGTCATGTATGTACAAAGAGTCAATGTTTTGCTCAGGCGGTCAAAACACGTCGTCCAACTTCCTTTTTTCTTGCTGTCAAAAATAAACTAATGGGGCCATGTGCTGAATGAGAGGTGACAGAATTATAAAACATTAACAACAACTCACTTGTGGTAATAAAGAATCGATGGTAAAACAGAAATTGGCGTCATGAAACTAAAGTCGAATAAAAATGGAGAAAAAACTGAAACGATGGTTAATATCTTTGTCTAATACGTGTTGCTCCGTGTGGCTGTGTACTATTTATATTCTTAACTAATACTGTCGGTAATATGAAACTTAATTTATATGTCCCATGTGGTATCGCGGACGATCATATTTCTGAGTTTTAACGTTCGTCCGTCTGCCTCACTAAGGGTTACAACTTTATGGAAGTACAGTATATAGAGACTCAACCTAAAACACCCGTACAGTCAACACAAGAGTGGGGTCCAAGATGTATGTTGCTTGAGATTTAACCTTTATGCCGCCTCACCAAGGACACGACAGTCACACTCATTCATAACTCTGGGATATAACTCCGTAGAAGTACTGTGGGGAATGATCTCGCTTCTGTCCACTTTTGCGTGGGTGTGCATGTAGGTCTGTCTGAAAAAGTCAAAAGCGATCTGTTTTGATTTCGAATGAAGTTAATAAAAAAAAATCAAGATCAGAGAGAGAGAGAGAGAGAGAGAGAGAGAGAGAGAGAGAGAGAGAGCGAGAGAGAGAGAGAGCACCTAATAGTTTAGGTCTTGAGACATTTTGATTGACACCGAAAACCCCCCATTTTTATGAAGATTGATCAAAGGTTAAATTCGAGAGCCCAAGGTTGAGTATCGTAATCTTGGAAAAAATAATCTCAAAACGGTTGAACCGATTGTGATGGAGGTTGGCGGGAGACTTGGGTGCTGGCCAGAGGAGTTAAGGTCAGGTGTCAATGTCAAAGTTCTGCGCAATATGGGTGTTTGTGCTCTAATAAACACTATTGTTACAGTTTTACATATCATTGTTTCAGATCCACCCTCCTACTTCT